CCTTCACCTGCTTGGCTTCAGTCATCACCTATAATCTGACAACTCACAGATCCTTTCCACCTGTCTCCCAGGCTCCAGGCCTGCACGGTGAATTCTAGTATCCTAATTGTTTTCTTGTGCATCATCTTCTTTCCCATGAGAATGTGAGTTCCCTGAGAATAGGGCTTTGGGCCTGTTTCATGCACAACCATTGGCCCAGCACCTGCATTCTGTCTGGATGTCCCTCAAACTCTTCATTTTCGTCTGCCCATCACCCCAGACTTGCTTGGGTTTTTGTATTCCTTAAAACTGTCTGTGACTACTTCCTGTGATCAGAAATCTGAGTGCTATCTTCACCCCCTCCCTCACTTGGCAAAGCCATCCCTAATACCTGCCCTGCCTAAGGCTCTCTTAGGGCCCACTCTCTCCCTCCCTGCCACACTCTAGTGTGGTCCCTTCTTCAGCTTCTGCCTGAACCATTACAGAGTTCTTCTCTTGAGCCCCTTCCCAGCTTGTTCTCCTCACTGACCTAAGTGATTTCCCCCCTTGAAATATACACATTGGTTTGCTTTTCCCACAAAATTGGGGCCGCAGTGTAACAATAGTTCTATGTCTGTTCTTTCCCCATAATGTAAATCTTGCAAGCATCATCCTGTATGCTCTGGAAACTTTCTGTAACTTCAGCTGTCTACCGTAGCCGGGGCTGAGCCATAATATAGTCTACCATTTCCTTAGTGAGGTTGTTTCTCGGCCTTTTTGTTCTTATAAGTAATGCTGTCATTCATCTTTACGGTCCTTCCAAAATGCAAATCTGGCCATGTTACTCTCTCGCTTAGAATCTGTCAGTGCCTCCCTGTCATGGAAGGTCAATGTTGTCTGACTCCTTCAGATGGCCCATGAGGCCTTTCATCTGGGACCTGCCTACATCCCTCATGTCCTCACCCTCCTACAAACCAAACTTCAGCTGTTCCATTACTTGCAGCTCCCAAATGTGAGCCACCTGGATTTTTTTGCTTTTGCTTTTATGTAGCATCTTGCCCTTGTCTTCCCAGAGAAGTCTGCCGCTGTGTTCAGATCCTAGCGTTCCTTATCTATAATGATGCCCAAAGATGATATCCACTAACCCAGAGTGGCCTTGGGGATCCAGGCTGCCAGTCCACTGACATATAAGATTTTCAAGATGGTCTAGTCCAGGTTCCAGGTGCCTTCTCAGAGTTTTCAGATCTAGAAGGAATTGCTATGCCTGTGGTCGGATGGGAAGGTGGAGACAAGAGAGTGGGGCCAAGGCTAGGCTGGTCTGCTCTCCTTTCTTGGTGAACTATGGTGTTTAGAGTGGCCACGAGCCCTGATGGGATCCTCTTGCAGAATACAGTGGCCAGCCATCCTTCCTCCTCCCACTCCTAGGAGTACTTCGTGGCAATCTAAATGGGATGGCCAACTATTATGGCCCATGGGTCAACTGCAGTCCACCATGTTTTGCACCTCCCATGAACAAAGTGGTTTTGATATTTTTAAGTGATAGGAAAAAAAAATCAAAATAATTGGATTTTGTGGCATGTGAAAATATATAAAATTTAAATTTCAGTGTCCATAAATAAAGCTTTATTGGAACACAGTCACTCTCATTTATATGTCGTCTTTGGCTGCTTTTGTAGTACGATGGAGGAGCTGAGTAGTTGTGACAGATTGATTGGCCCATGAGCCTGAAACATTGACTCTCTGGTACTTTACCATTTGCGGAGCCCTGATCTCAAAAGTGGGGCAGTGTGGTCAGGGAGATAGGAGACAGATCGGAAGAGCACTCTGAAAGATGAAATGAGAGGGTTTCAAGAAGAAAGCTTGTCCACAGGGCTCGATGGGGTAGCAAGGACCAAATATATGAAGGCTCAACATGGAGGAGCCCCTCCACCTGCTTTTTGAGAATGACTATGTGGGAGACAGAATCTGATTTTAAAAAACTTCACATTTTATTTTACAGAATATGGTCACTTGTTGAGTTGAAGGCGTGGAACTTAAGAGCTGTTCCAATACAGCCTGAACAAAAACACCTCCCCTCCACCCCTGCCCCCAGCACTTTTAATGACTGGCTCATCATTGTGTACACAAGACATTTCATTATCAGACCCGAAGATGCTAACAGTGGTAATTTACAAATTCTGAGAAAAGGCCTATATATAGGCAAAGTGTAAGAATTTTTTTTCTTACTAAATCAGTGTAGTGTACCCTTAAAATGACATATTCACAAACAGAAGTTAGAAAAAGAGAAGTTAAAATGCACTTATGAATTGTTTTCTTGCTGCCCGAGTTAAACTCATGTCTCCATTTCTACAGAATGCAAAAAAGACAAGGCAGCTCCACTGGTGTTAAGTTATAGATCACTAGACGTTACAAACAGTTTCCTCTGAAAGAGAATGCACTTATGTTTAAGTTGTAGCACACTTCACATATAACCAACCTAAAGTTAGAAAAGCCACTTTTTTGAAGGCACAGTTTATGTTTCCAGCTCGATTGTGAAAATAAAAACCTGTCTTATAGACCCTACCTGATAGAAGGGTGAATTCACTGGTCTTGTCCGTGCTCTCAAAGCCCAGCCATAGCCAGCTCAGGCCTGGGCACCTCTGAGTGTCTCCATGAGACAGATGTGTCTAGTCTAGAGGACAGAATGTTTTCATTTTGAACGTAATCATCATGTGTAAGGATTCTGGAGGCTCCAGGCTTCCCTCTGTTCTCTGAAAATGCAAACAATTTTGCTCTATCAAGTAGAATCAATAATTGGTCCTTCATGGGCATGGGAGAGGAGGGGGAAGACCCAGCAGAAAGAAGCTGCTGGCTAGTGTGTAGCTTGGAGACAGCTCCTCGGTCAGGGCCTTTGGGAAAGAGGGTCTAAACAAGAGTGAATAATGCCTTTGTGTCAAGTGTCAAAAGACGCATTTCTAGAAAAGTGGCTGTGCTTTCCTTCTATATGCTTGGGGGAAAAAGGAAAAGGAGGGGCAACTGGGTTCAGTGATCTAAGAAAAGACAGGGAAGGGGTATGATTTCCCTCCCGTGCCACTGCGCTTCAAGTCAGTGAAATCACTACTCTCGTTAGGCCAACAGCAGGTTGTGGGAGAGAACGTCTGGCAGTGGCCTTTGCATGTATAATTGGTTTGAAAAAAATAAGTTTACATCTGAGGTATGATGACTAATCTATATGAATCTCTGCCTGATGATGACAGGCAGAAACAGCTATCATGACATACATGGAAGGTGTTAGGAAAAGATCAGAAATGATTAGGAGTGGAAATGTACACATGGGCTGCTCTCCGGCTTCATGCTTGTCAGCAGCCTTTTTGCTGAAAGCCCTCCAAATTTGTTTTGTTTGAGCTAGGTACAGGTTTAGAAGTTTTCCTTTTACCTGCTAATAGAATAATCACGATGAGCTCATCTGATAAACGCCTAATCTGACTACCTCTGTGTTCTCACGTAACTGGAATATTCATAATGATGGCCATCAGACTCCGCGAGCCTGGAACACGACAGAAAGCTGTACTTGCAGAAGGAAGCTGTCAGTTTTGAGGACTGGCACACATCACGGCATAGAACTTCTACAAATAAATTGCTACATAAATACTGATGCATGGTTGCAGCATTTCAGAGACTTCCTTTCCTTTCAGAGACTTTGTTTACAGGCTACAGAACCAAAGTGGTGAAGGTCACATTAACAGTACCATGTTGTCAAGGTAGAAACGCGCTGTTGTTTTGCATTTCCTGACCTAACCTATCTTATTAAAATCAGCTCCTTTCACCGTCTTCAAAATATTGTAATTAATTTGCTTTTTTACAAAGACAAAGGTCTTGTGGCTTCAATTATTCTGCTGGAGGTACCAACACACAGACGTTAATCTCATTACAGAAATCACTTTTAATGCATCCCACTTAACAAAGAATCACTTAAAAGCATTCATTAAAATTGATTTCTGTAAGGAGATGAATGTCTTTGTGTAGAACAAGCTGGGCCAGTTAAAATGATAATAATGTCTGGGCTTTTTTTTTTAAAGCCAAGTTGTTCTAGATATTCAGCATCATTTGTGGCATTCCAGTCCTCTAAGTGGGGCGGCAGAGAACCAAGAGATGAGTCAAGTCATCTTGGAAGAGGTCGAGAAGAATGGGTGGGAATCCAGACTGGTCAGGAGACCCCAAGCATCGAACAAACACTGCCATCCCCGAGGCTGGGTCAAGGTGCTCTCCAAAGGGGAGGAACACACAGTGGGGGCACTCTCTGTATGATGCTCCATTCCCACAAACTGTAGAGGGGCCCCCCAATAGGCCAGCTGGGCAGCCTTGAGACAGTGGCGCATCTAGCCCTAACCTTGGACACCTACTTAGAGGAGTGAATGCCTGGGGAAGCAGGGCTTACACAATTCCCTGCGCATTTCCAGTTATCACAATGAGCGGTCCTGATCTGAATGCCTCCTACTATGCCAAGGATGGTGGTCAGGAGTGGGGAGGTGACATCTATCAACCGAAGAGCAAATGCTGACATTTTCCATTTCTGAACACTGATCCTTTTCCAGGGTGTTGAGAGAATCACAGTGTGAACCTAACACTGATCTTTTTCTGGGGTTTGAGAGAATCGCAAATGTGCTCTGTGTGTGTGTGTGTGTGTGTGTGCGCGCGTGCGCGTGTGTGTGTGTTTTGGGGTGGTGGTGACTGGTAGGCCAAGGTGTGGGAAGGACCACTCCCCATAAACATAGAGAATGGTGGTCCCAGGATTGAAATTCTGCCTTCCATATGCTTGTGAAAGTGAGAAACACAACTGTTCCTCTCATGCCGGAAAGCTCCTCAAAGGCCCAAGATACTCAGGGCCAGGCTACTGTGCTCAGACTAAAACTCTAATCATTCAGTTCAGAGAACAGAGAGGTGATGGCTCTAAAAAAACGTGGGACACACACTTCTCGTAATGACATCTCCTAGGACCCGCTCTATAATTATAACATTTGGAAACATGTATTATGTTACACACTAAAACAATATAAATGAACTTTTGGGGAGTTTGAAAGATCTTTGGGCTCTTCTCATCACAACGGAGTGGAGAGAGCCTTCTCTGTGTTTAAAGTTGCCTAACTTTTCTTTCTGTGCTTTTTATATTGACATCTAACTTGTCCACTTTGGTTGTGAGGCGGTCAAGAATGTCATCTTGCTCCTCGATTTCCATCTGCATTCCCAGGGCTATGTCCTTCAGCCGGCCTAGTCCCATGGATAGCTCATCTGTGGGAGAGGGAAAGGAGACACAGGGCTGAGCCAAGTCAAATCAGGAGCTGCTGCTTGTTCCGTGCCTGGTGCTCAGCAACATTCACGTCACTGAGTCCTGTTTCTCTTAAGATGGTAAAACTCTAGGGCTTTGGTTACATTTTCTAAAATGTGTGCAAGCAAAAAGAAAACCCACTGACTCCATATAAAGTAATATGTGCTTCATGCAAAAGCCACTCCTCCCCCAGATGTCAGCCCAAGACAACCGCTCTTAATACAGTGGTGTTTGTCCTTCCTGTGCTTTAAAAAATGCATAGAGTTCTACGTGATTTTTCAGCTGCCTCTGAACATTCTAGAGGGTTACGGCACGTTGCAAGATCAGTTAGTACCCAAGAAAAAGAGAAGTTCAGGGGTGCCTGGGTGGCTCAGTGGGTTAAAGCCTCTGCCTTCGGCTCAGGTCATGATCCCAGGGTCCTGGGATCAAGCCCCGCTTCGGGCTCTCTGCTCAGCAGGGAGCCTACTTCCCTTCCTCTCTCTGCCTGCCTCTCTGCCTACCTGTGATCTGTCTGTCAAATAAATAAATAAAATCTTAAAAAAAAAAAAAAGACAAGTTCAGAGGGGTCTAGAAAACATATTCCCTCCCCAGACCCCATGGTGAGTGTCTGGTAAGTATGGTAAGTATGCAGGTAACCAATAGCCAGACCCATGGGCTGCTCTTCAGGAGCAAAAACCCCATGTTGGCAGGTAGAACTCAATAGTGCCAGCTTTCCATCCTTCCATTTCCCACTCCCTAAAGCTAGATCAAGCACAGATTCGGAGTAGTAAGCATGAGGATCCCTATTTGGAAACACATCTGGGAGAGACCCAGGAAGCTCCCCGCACCCACATTGCTCCTGCCCCAGGCTCCCTCCTGGAGAAGGCCACATCCCACCCCTCCTTCCACTCTGCAGGTGGCAAGAGAAATGGGTGCTTTGTCCCTGCCTTGCCACCTAGGGTGCTCTCCCAGAAAATACATGGACTACAGATGTTCCCGCTGGACCCAAATGCTGTGAGATCTTGTCACCTATGTTATGATAATTCACATTTTCCTATGTCCATTCATTCATTGCTACCACTTCTCAGATCCATGAATACACCCAGGCTGTGAATGTCCTGGCACACGACACAACCTGAATCGGGCTGGCACCGTTTCTTTTGCCTACTCTGCGGCCAGGAAGAAGCTGGCCGTGGAGGTCCCTGCAGTCCAGGGTCCCCATGTCAGAAGGAACAAAGGGCTGAAGGTGCTGGGTGCCTTCAGAGATGCTGTCTCGGGCAAGCCCCTGAGGACTGTGAAGCACACAACTTTTGGCAAAGGTTCAGCCCTAGCGATAGGTTATATCACTACTGCCAAAATTCAAGTTCAAATGTGAGGCCTGAGAGTCCCATGTTTATGCAGGACACAAACAGTATGGGGAGGAACCCAGGTCAGTCCCACGAGGTCTGAGTTCAAATTCTGGCCCCCTTCTTAATCCATGCTCCCAGATCACAGCCGAGGGGAATTCCCTTCGAGATGACAGTCCCTTCGAGAGCGACTAGCCACTCTGGTGCCGGCTTCCTTCTGAGCTCATTCTATTTCCCTCATTAGGCTTTCCCAAGACAGTGTGTGTGTACATATATGTGCACATGTAAACAGTGGGGGGGCATGCACAGAGCTGCATTCTGCCCTTTCACTAGGAGCAGCAGGCTAAGAAAGAGCCAGAGGAAAGAGAGAAGAGGAGGCACCACATAAGCCTCCTTGCAGCTGAAATTAAGGAAAGAGAGGTCAGAATACACAAATACTTGGCACGAGCACCACAAACTTAAGCAGAATCCAGTCTGTTTTTTGAAAAGTTGTCTTCAGCTCTATGCTTCTTGAATTTACTGACACCCCTGACCTTGCATTCCATGGAGAGTAAAGTCTGTGAGGTCACCCCAGGCCTCAGGGAGTGTGCTGGCAATGGGGACAGAAAAGGATAAGCAATAGGTATACTAAGATTAAAAAAAAAAAAAAAAAGTGTGATAGAGTAAAGCCACCAGATAAGGGAGCTGGCGTCAGAGGGAGACTTGTCCTGGTCCCTGAGATAAAGGCAGGGGTGGGAGGTGCGGGGAGTGTGGTAAGAAGGTAGGAGCGAACTTGTGAAGGGTGGCCAGGCACAGCCTGTGTCAGTGGGCCCTGTGGCTCCAGGGGGCCACGCCAGCCCTTCTCAGCCTGCCACACCGCAGGGGACTGCCTGCCTAGGCTAGAGGCATCACACCGACTGCTGACGTTCACACGGAGGGCAGCAGTGGTAAGCTGCAGGGTGGGCAAATCACGGTTTTTATTTGACCTTGCTTATGTCTATTCTCTCCGACTGATGTCTCATTTCTACGGAGATCTCTTTTAATGCTGAGAAGGAGAACTCTTTTCCCTGACCGTGCAACTCCATTTCCAGCAAATCTAGGCACAAAATGCGGCCAAGGATGTGCTCATAGGAACGAGCAAGGGATTACATGCAGGAGCGAACGATGGGAATGACCCGAGTGTCCAAGAGCAGGGCGTGGGGCTGCTGATGTAGTGCTTTCCAAAGAACTTCGCAGGAAAGACTTTAGGGAAGTGTTCAAAATATAAATAAAAAAGCAGGATATGGAAGCGTATGTACTGACAGAGGTACGTGAAAAATGGAAGGAGAGACTACTGTTAGAAAATGGGATTCCAGGTGATCCTTTCCTCATAGCATTTACCTAACTTCATAGTTTTCTGTGATGAATCTGGTTACTCAGACACAAAGGCTAAATGTTAAAAAGAAAGAACATGGTTTGCCTAACAGGCTGTCATGCTATTTGCTCCGGGCTGCTGGAACAGCCACTGCTCTGGGCGAACCACGGAGGGGGCCCGCAGGATCCCTCCTGGGGGAGAGAAAGGAGGAGGAAGTCTGTGCACAGATGCTCAATGTGCATTGTCATCGGCCTCAGTGTTGTTTCCAACTACATACCTTTAGAGCGGGAAAAATTTAACCCTGGGTCTTACTCCCTTTGCCATCTCCCAACAGGGCTGGGAGACTGACTCCGACCCAGGTCACCATGGGGGAGGTTCCCATTCATGGGGTGAAGGTCAGAGGACGCAGCACATCTGAGATGCCACCTAGAATGAACCCACGGACACCACTCCCGTGCCTGCTTCTACTGCCCACACGTACTCCCCAGCCCCGCACTTGCACTTCAAGTAACTAGCTTCTCTCTCTCCGTTCAAAAATGAATCAGAGAGCTTGCCTGATAGGGCAGGGTACAGAGGTGCAAACTGAAATAGCCCTGGGTTCCCTGGAATTTACAGTGTGGTCAGAAGCCATCAGATAAACCAGCAGGTACATGAGGCCCGTAGCTGGAGGAGCTAGCCTTCAAACAGCGGGGAGGAAGGACACTCCAGGCAGAGGTGGGCAGGAGCTTCCTGGAAAGCACTCAGAGGCACATGTGATGAGGGCAGGAGGGGTAGAGAGGTAGGCGGGGCCAGAGGCTGGGCAAGGGACCTGGGAACACAAGGAACCCAGCTCTTCGGCCCGTGTCTGCTGCAGTGGCTACGTGAGTGTGCAGCACTTAAAGGTCAGGCGGTTCCCTATGGGATGTTTGGGGTTGCTCATCTAATCCTCTCCCCCATCCTCAGAGGCAGGCTCTGTTCCTGGGCCCCATTCACAAAGAGATAATGGGGCTCTCACTGCCACACTGTGCGGCCCCTGAGGGTCTCCTGGTCCCTGCTGCTGTCACAGCGCAGATGAGAGGTGGGGAAGGACAGAAGTGGACAGACTCCGGAGAGAGAGAGAGAGAAGGGTGAGATGGCTGTGACCATACTGGATTTGACATGTGGGGAGGGAGACGCAGACACCAACCATGGTTTGGTCCCGAGAAACCACCGGCTACCGGTATACTGGCTGGGCCCGGCACTGGCTGTTGGGAGCACGAGGGTCCAGAGTAAGGGACCCATGGAGGCTGGCGGAGCTTCAGTCTTACCTAGATTATTGTCCATCTTCTGGTGACAGGCTCGAAGGTGTGTGTTCTTCGGGTAAGCCTCGCTGCTCACGGCAGGACCCGCTCCTCCAGGGAGGGCGTCTGAGTTTGGAAAGAAACACCAGGAGAATGGTTAACCGATGTCTCTCGAAATATGGCTTCACAAAATTCATCTTCATCTGGAAAATGGCGGGGAAGGAACGAGGTGGTTAGTTGTGAGGCCATCCAAAGAGATGAGTGTAGGGATGGACAAGGTGCAGGATGGAGGAGCACTGGGCAGGCTTGTAACGGAGGGAGAGGGGGTCAAAGACCCTCAGCTGGCGGGTCACCCAGTCAGACCTTGGCCATGTGCTGGGGAAAGAGACCGGGACTCATTTGAGTGATGATGTGGTTGTGGAACTACAACGAGGCACAACGACATGGGGCTGTGGACAAGGTCTACAAGGCAAGGTTTAAAAATCAAAATAACTATTCACGTTTCAAAAAAAACCCAAGCGGGATCTGAGGTTTTTTGTTTTCCTACACTACATACTTTTAAATTTGTTTTTTTATTTTTATTTTTTAAAGATTTTATTTATTTATTTGACAGAGATCACAAGTAGGCAGAGAGGCAGGCAGAGAGAGAGGAGGAAGCAGGCTCCCCGCTGAGCAGAGAGCCCGATGGGAGATTCCATTCTAGGACCCTGGGATCATGACCTGAGTCAAAGGCAGAGGCTTTAACCCACTGAGCCACCCAGGCGCTCCCATACTTTCAAATTCAAATTCAATTAATTAACATATAATATATTACTTGTTTCAGGGGTACAGGTCTGTGATTCATCAGTCTTATACAACACCTGGTGCTCATTACAACACTTGCCCTCCCCAATGCCCATCACCCAGTTACCCCATCCTTCCACCCTTCTCCCCTCCAGCAACCCTCAGTTTGTTTCCTATGATTAAGAGTCTCTTATGGTTTGTCTCCCTCTCTGATTTCATCTTGTTTCACTTTTTCCTCTCTTCCCCTGTGATCCTCTTGCCTTACTTCTTAAATTCCACATATCAGTGAGAGCAGATGATGACTGCCTTTTGTAGAAAGCAAAAAACTTTAAATGATCACTGATGTAAAAATAGAACTGCACAGATCTTATTTATTCCTTTCTTCAAATGCACACTTTAGTTCTTTCAAAGTGAAAGAACCTCAATCTTACCTAAAAAAGTTTCAAGTGACAGAAACTAATAAATGAATTATTGATTATAAAAAATATCAAAAATCAAAATCAAAATAGCTATATTATGGAAACAGGATCGTGGATGACTTTCTCTTCTAGAAATGTATTTACATGCTGCCTTTCTGCTTCAAATACAACAAGCAAGGAAAGAAGAAATGCTAATAATGCACGTTTGCCTCAAATCTTCCTTGAACTACAGTTTCTAAACGCACACAGAAAAGCCCTATCATCCCAGTTTCCATCTTCGGGGGAACTTCTCTTTCCAGACTCGGTGGATTTCCTCAGGCACAGCCTACTGAAACCATTCCACACACACAATGTCTGTTTTTTGTTTTTTTTTTAAGGCTCTTCAGTTACTACACTGTACAAATTAAAACTCCTCTTAATTCCTTAAATTCGTGTCTTTTTGGGTACAGCCTTCCTACCCTACTTCCTCAGGCTCCGCTGAGCTCAGACTTTCTGTGGCCCTCACATATTTTAGTTGTCCCTCATGCCCTCCCATGGCTTTCGCCTTTCCAGATTGAACTATGGTGATATCCTTCTTTCCTGACCGCTGGCTCTTCCTCCATCAGGGTCTCTCCTTAGCCGGTCCAACCATGAGAGCAGTGGGCTCTGGAGCATCGAGAGCATATCCTGCTTTCCTTAAAGGGAGCATAGGAAGCATTTGATTCCTGGCACCGAATAATGTGCCTGGCCTTCCAGGGGTCTGCAGGAACTTCCATGGGGCCGAAGTTCCTTTCCAGATAAAGGGTATTTCTGAGCCTATTGTTTGATAACAAGAGGATGACACCACACACAACCGACTTTGCGCACCTTATTCACGCTGTTGCTTCTCTGGCCCCTCGGGCTCTGGGCCGCTGTGAGGCAACAACCACAGACTTATCCTTCTGTTCCGGGGCCCAGGAACTTGGGACGGAGCATACTGGCCTAGAGTCGAGGCATCAACAGGTCTGTGTTCCTCCCGGAGGCTTTTGGGGAGAATCTGATTCCTAGCCTTTCCCAGCTTCCAGAGACTGCCTGTGTTCCTCAGCAGGTGGTCCCTGCCTGCGTTTTCCAAGTCAACAGTGGAGCATCTTCCAAGTTTTGACCATCTCTCCTTGGCTTCCCTTTCCACTTACAAAGGGGCCTTTGTGATCACACTGGGCCCAGCTGGTTAACTCAGGATAGTTTCCCCATCTCCAGATCAGCCGGTTAGCAACTGTAAGTTCCCCCTTGCCACAGAACTCAATATACTCATTGGGTCTGCGGAATGACAGGTCATTTTTGGGAGGCTCTAGCCTTGACCACAGAGGTTTTCCAGCCATTATTTTTTCACTGCTGGAAGAGTTCAGAGCTTCACGGGGCAGGAACTAACAGTGCACAGGCTCCTTTCCAACGGGACCCAGGCTCCCACTTCCTTATTCCATCCGCCACAGGGTGAGGGATGAGCCGTGCCATTAACACACACCCTCCAGCTCCCTGGGAGTGGCACTGGGTCACTGACACCCTTCAGCCATGACAGTAGCTGGAGTCCCTGCTGCCCCCCAGTGCTCCACCCCAGGGCCAACCCGGAATCCAAGTGTGGCCGAGCACAGGTCCCCACTGACCTGAGTCATTCAGCTTCCTGAGGTTTGGGTGGCTGGCCTGGTAATGGGCCTCCTGTGCTTTACTGGTACTTACGGCTTCTTTCAATCTGTGGATAGAAGTTAAGAAAAGAGAACATTTAGAAAGAGGAAACACCTATGACAACTCAGTCCGTCTTTTCAAGCAATGCCCATGGGCAAAAAGCAAATGCCTCCTCTGACCAAAGCAGGGATATTCATCAGCGGCTCCTGTGAGTCCGGCCCGCAGCCCGGGGAACTTCTGAGACACCTGCTTTAGAAGAGCAGCAGCTGGTTCATCGGCCCTCCTTCAGGAAAAGGAGACTCCCAGGACCACGGGGAAGAGAAGCACACGACAAATCTGATTTTGTACAGCCACAGGCCGAGAACTGCCTTTACAGTGACCACTGGCAACTGACCGGATGATAGAAAGACTAACTCTGAATCTCTGTCAATAATTGCTTTCTTCTCATTAGGAGACCTATGTTACAAAAAATTGTACTCGATTATTCCTCTTTTCATTTTTTAAAAATGTCATCATTAAACCTTTGTTTTTTTCTTGTTTACATAAGTCCCTACAAAACAACTCTGATTTTGTTTCCTGGGTCAAAAGCTTAGTCTGCCCACTCCTGCGACAGACAGGAACTTCTCCAGGTAACTCAGGAGATGCTCAGACTGTTCCTGACTCTCCGTGCATCCCTGCGGGCCTGGCAGGGGCTCCCCCCACCCCCAGAAGCTGGGCCTTGTGGCATAGTCTGCTCTTCTCCACCCTGCTGACTGGTGCCCTGGCCACTTGTTGGCCAAGCTGGAAACCAATCATTGTCCATGTCTGCCCTCTCTCTGCACAGCTCCATTCCCAGTAAGCCATACAAACATCCTCTCAATCCCCCCGCAGATCCCCAAAATCCAGCCCCTCCTTCTGCCTTGCTTCTTTATCTTTACATGGGTGAGCGCCTGCCTTTCCAATCCTTACCCAAAGATGCCAGGCATCTTTCTACATCCTCTGCATGAACCTCTCCAATTAAAGTCTTTGTTTATTTTTTGAAAGATTTATTTTAAGATTTTTTTTTTTTTTTTAAATTTGAGAAAGCGAGAGAGGGAACATGACAAGGGAGAAGGTCAGAGAGAGAAGCAGACTCCCCATGGAGCTGGAAGCCTGATGTGAAACTCAATCCCAGGACTCCGGGATCATGACCTGAGCCGAATGCAGTCCCTTAACCAACTGAGCCACCCAGGCACCCAACAGATTTACTTGAGAGAGAGAGGGAGAGAGAGAATGTGCATGTGTACGAGTGCAAGTGGGAGGTGGGTTGGGGAGGGGTAGAGGGAAAGAAACTTCAAGGAGACTCCCTGCTGAGAGCAGAGCCTGATGTGGTGGTCCATCCCATATCCTGTGAGATAATGACCTGAGTCAAAACCAAGAGTCAGATGCTGAACTTATGAGTTTATTTACTCATGAACTACCCAGGCACCCCACCCTGGTTAAAGTCTTTTAAAAATTTTTTGGGACGCCTGGGCGGCTCAGTGGGTTAAAGCCTCTGCCTTTGGCTCGGATCATGATCTCAGGGTCCTGGGATCGAGCCCCACATTGGGCTCTCCGCTCAGCAGGGAGCCTGCTTCCCTTCCTCTCTCTTTGCCTACCTCTCTGCCTACTTGTGATCTCTTTCTGTCAAATAAATAAATAAAATCTTAAAAAAAAATTTAAAAAAAAATTTATTATTTATTTGAGAGAGAGACAGAGAAAGACAGCACAAGCCGGGTGGGGGGGTTGGGTGGGGGGAAAGATAGAGGGAGCAGACCCCCTGCTGAGCAGGGAGGACAACTCGGGCCTGATCCCAGGACCCTGGGATCATGACCTGAGCCGAAGGCGGATGCTCAACCAACTGAGCCACCCAGGCGCCACTGGTTAAAGCATTTAATGTCTCCCCACTGGTGTAAGCGTGCACCCCATGAGGCTAAAGGTGTCCCTGATTAAAGCCTTTAATGTCTCCCCACTGATGTAAGCCTGGACCCCATCAGGCTAAAGGCATCATAGGCCCCCAGTGCTCCAGTGATGTGCAGAACAGAAGAGAGTCTCCTATAATCTGAGGATTTCATTACTTAGAAGCAGTGACTGGAGAGGTGCCTGGGTGGCTCAGTCGGTTAAGCATCTGACTCTTGGTTTCAGCTCAGGTCATGATCCCAGGGTCCTGGAACGAGCCCTGCACAAGGCTCCACGCTCAGCATGGAGTCTGCTTGATATTCTCGCTCTGTCTCTTTTTGCCCCTCACACTCATGTTGTCTCTCTCTCTAAAATAAATAAATAAGATCTTAAAAAAAAAAAAAAAAGCAGTAGTGACTAGAGGTCTAGAACACTCCGCTAGTTTCCCTGAGCACAACTGTGAGCCCCACGTGCAAGCAGGTGCTTGCAGCTGAGCACACCTGGCCGTCATCCAGCCTACATACCCCAAAGCTGACTTTTTTCCTTTGTGCCCAGATGTATATGGTAGTAATACGTAAATGACAAAAATTTGGCTTCTTTGTGAAAGATGGCAAAAAGTCAATTCTAGGGAGAGTGACAGAAATGGTTAAGGAAGACAACTAAAAGAGGAGTGGTGGCTCTTGGTCAGCAACCGAGTCTTGAATAAGTCAAGAGTGTTTCAAATTTAGGGAGTGGTTAAATCTATGATCTGAAGGGACATCTCCGTGAGCTTTATTTTTTTATTTTAGTATTTTTTAAAGATTTCGTTTATTTACTCACAAGAGACAGAAACAAAGAGAGAGGCAGAAGGAGAAGCAGGCTCCCTGCAGAGCAGGGACCCCCAAACGGGACTCAATCCAGGACCCTAGGATCACGACCCCAGCTGAAGAAAGACGCTTAATTGACTGAGCCACCCAGGCACCCCTCTTCATGAGCTTTAAATGCAAATGGGAACCAGCAGCTTATGAAGCTTTGTCAGCAAATCAAAAAATGGCTTACCAAGAAACAAAACTTCAGAGAAGGCTGAAGGGTTTGTGTAACAAGGATATACACAGGATACATAGGATTTTTTGTTTGTTTAAGAGGAAATTATTTTAAAAGACTTTATATCAGAATATCGCTGTATTTAGAGTAGGGTTATGACAGGATTATAAAGATTTACTCATTTTATAGAAGCAATTACACATTACAGTGATTTTTGCAAGGGTAAGGATTTAGGAGCTCACAGATAGCTTTGCAGGCCATGCCTCCATGTCAAGAGTTTGCTGGGCTCCCACTTTAGAAATAGCCAATGCCTTTCACTCGTCCCAGCTTCTCCTGTGCTTTGACTGCTACGCATCTGCCACCTTCCCCTCCTTTAATTGGCAGGACCCCACATAACCCTAACTCCACTTGAGAGGTCGGTGCCTTGGTTCCCAGGGCAAAGCCCCACCTCCTCAGGGTCTCTGCTGCATTTACCAAGTGATGGGAAGAACGCTCCAGCTGACTGGGGCTGATCTAGAGGCAGAAGGCTAGGCGGGGGCACGTGACATCAGGCACCAAGAGGCCCACCTCGCTGAAGCTGGTCCGGCTGCTTCACTTCTGGGACACCTTTGTCAAAAAGGCCTTGAGTTTTCAAGATGCTTCCCCCCAAAAGTAAGGTGCCCTGGGAGCCCCAGGACTTGAAAGACTTTTAAAGTATGACCAGGGTTGGGTGGTGGGGGCGGGGGTACAGCACTAGCCCCAAGAAGCCTTTGGGAAGGGACATGTGAGACACAGGAAAGTGCCAACCAAGGGCTGTCTCTGCTGCTGAGTTCATGTGATGTAGATGTCTTAATCCAAAGTGACAACAGACATCTCAACTTCCCCTAACATATAAAAACCCAAAAAGGGGGACACAAAACATCCTTCCAATTTGTAAACGGCAAATCAAACCAAACCACAAAAAACCATAAAACCAAAACCAAACAAACAAACAAACCCCGACCAAATGAACAACCCCAGAAACTACCCCAGTTGGGGGAAAAAGGTGACAGGTATCTGAAATCAGGGCCAAGCTGGAAAATCAGGGATGGATAGTGATTATGACTGAGCCACAAAACCAATCAACGCTCCTAACTTTGGCTAGCGTGTCCGCAGGGAATAGCCCCCAGGCCCAACCAACTGCCTATTCCCCTTCTGCAGTTTCCTCTCCGTAAATACCAATGATCTGCCTTCCTGGTCTTTCTGCTACACCCTCAGTTCCTTCACCTGCACTTGTTTCTCCCCAGAGCCACTGTGAGCTGGAAACAGTTTCCCAATTTCTTCCCTCCCACATCCTGGGTCCTAATCCAGGTGGTGGCCACCAGGTATATCCACAGGTAAGCAGTCACCTGTTGAGTGGAAATGTCAACACATACTTAAGATGTGTGCACTTTACCTCAGTTACGAACTTAAAAAAATGCCTCTTAAAAAATTGTTCTAGGGGAGCCTGGGTGGCTCAGTTGGTTGAATGTCTGTCTTCGGCTTAGGTCATGATCCTAGGGCGCTGGGGTCAAGCCCCACATTGGGCTCTCTGCTTAGCAGGGAGTCTGCTTCTCCTTCTCTCTCTGCCTGCCACTCTGCCTACCTGTGAGCCCTCTCTCTCTCTGCCAAATAAATAAATAAAACCTTAAAAAAAAATCGTTCTGTGTTCCAGATTTAGAAAATAAAAGATAAACAGAGAGGCCTGTGTAACAACATTACATCAGACCTTTCTCTGGGTTAAATGAAGTAGGCTACAAAACCAAATGAACACTGTGATTGCAGCTATGAAAACACTGAGTAAGGGGGAGAAACTAAGTTTTGAGTTTTTGTGCTATGGTAAGTAAGGTGTAGATTTTCTGTAATATGGTTATATTATTTTTATTTTTTAAAGATTTTATTTATTTATTTGATAGAGAGTGAGAGAAAGCATGAGAGGGGAGAAGGTCAGAGGGAGAAGCAGACTCCCCAGGGAGCTGGGAGCCCGATGAGGGACTCAATCCTAGGACCCTGGGATCATGACCTGAGCTGAAGGCAGTTGCCCAACCAAATGAGCCACCCAGGTGCCTGGCTATATTATTTTTACAATAAAAAATAAATACAATGATCTGAGATATGACTAGTAATCTACTTTAGCAAAAACTTGACTCTTTTATCTTTGTATACATATTTAAATACCTGCCCAAATTACATATATGATTTTTTTAAAAAATATTTTATTTATTTATTTGACAGAGAGAGAGAGAGATCACAAGTAGGCAGAGAGGCAGAGAGAGAGGAGGAAGCAGGTTCCCCACCAAGCAGAGAGCCCGATGTGGGGCTCAATCCCAGGACCCTGAGATCATGACCTGAGCTGAAGGCAGAGGCCCAACCCACTGAGCCACCCAGGTGCCCTACATATATGATTTTATTACCTAACTGAAACGTCTGAGAAAAATAATCACTCATTTTAAAATGAAAGTTAATAGCCAGACTGCATTAGATATGGAAATGTTGGATATAAAGATTAAAAAAATATTTTATTTTTTAATTTTTTATATTTTTAAAGATTTTATTTATTTGACAGAGATCACAAGTAGGCAGAGAGGCAGGCAGAGAAAAAGGGGGAAGCAGGCTCCCTACTGAGCAGAGAGCCCGATGCGGGGCTTAATCCCAGGACCCTAAGATCATGACCTGAGCCGAAGGCAGAGGCTTAACCCACTGAGCCACCCAGGCACCCCAAGACTTTTTTTTTTTTTTTTAAGACTTTTACTTATTTGAGCGAGCAAGCGAGTGAGAGATTGAGCGTGAGTGAGAGAGCACATGGAAGGGGAGCAGCAGAGGGAGAGGGGGAAGCAGCCTCCCTACTAAGCAGGGAGCCCAATGCGGGGCTCAATCCAACAACCCTGGAATCATGACCTGAGCTGAAGGCAGATGCTCAACCAGCTGAGCCACCCAGGCGCCCCAGATATAAAGACTTTTTAAAGAATTTTTAAAATTCTGTGAAGGGAGGAACATTTATACTGGTTAAGCTTTCTGAGGTGAATATTCTTTCAAATTACAATTACTGGAGCAGTAATTTAATTTTTTGGAGACCCTATTTATTCAATCAAATGAATAGCATCAGGAGCACTGGAAAAATGTTTCTTGTTTCAAAATGTGTGAGGATGAGTCCCTTCCAATGAGTAACTTACACAGATCTTGGGTCCCTTTAAGGCACTAGAAGTGGCTTCAAAGTCTTGACCATTTGCATTAAACACCATTTTCAGCTACTTCATTTCTGGATGGCTGAAGACCCACTCACCTACTATTGGCCTGGGAGGTGAGGGGGCCATTCTGTTCGGGTGGAGTCTCTGCTGGTTTTGATTTGAAGTAATTGACGAATCCCCCAAACATGCTCTTAATGCTGTTAATGTGCTTCTGGCTGGTCTTCAAATCCTGATCCATCTTGTCCACCATCCTCTCTGTGCGTTCTAAGACGCCTCGCTGACGATCGAGTTCCTGGAGAAAATGAGAGGTGATGGTGTTACACCATTCTGTAACTTTCCCCTCTCCAGGGGACACACAGCAGGCTTGTCATGAGCCCTCAGAGAGCACATATGGGGAGAGATGCTGCCATCTTTCGGGGGAAGGTTATCTCTTCAGGGAACACCTTCTTCTGCCCTTCCCCGTCCTGCCTCTACTGGCTTTCTTTCATATTTGCTCTCGAGTTCTTCTCCCTCATGCCCACAAGAGGTTGGCTCAGAGGACCCTGGTAAGATGCGCAGGGCCTGGACTGGCAGCACATCCTCTAGCTCTCCCCCTTTCCTGGCCCCCATGCACCTTAAAGGCTTTGACCTGGCACTGCGCCCATGGACTCTGGCTCTTGTACTCCCACTTTTCAGATATGGGATTTCTGTTGGGTCACTGGATCCACCTGGCCCTGGTCACGCCTTCAAATTATTTCACAGGCTAAGTCCAGAGTCATTTCTGGGCCCTGTTAATATCTGATTCCAACTCACTCATAGTTTCACCTTTAAAACCTGTAACAGGAAGGTGATTCTGTCCCGGGCCTTTGTGTATGCTATTCTGTGCTTGTAATAATCCTCGCCCAGATAATTGTACAGCTCTGCTCCTCATTTAATTCAGGTCTCTGCTCAGAGGCCACCTCCTCAGAGAAATCTTCCCTGAATACCTTCTCTAAAGTAGAACTTTGGGGCGCCTGCATGGCTCCATTTGTTAAGTGTCTGCCTTCAGCTCAGGTCATGATCCCAGGGTCCTGGGATCGAGCTCTGCGTTGGGCTCCCTGCTCAGTGGAGAGCCTGCTTCTCCCTCTGCCCCTACCCTTGTTCATGTTCTCTCTCTCAAATAAATAAATAAAATCTAAAAAAAAAAAAAAAAGAAAAGAAAAAGAAAAAAAAAAGTAGAGCTGAGAGTTCTGAAGGTGGATGTGACTGTGCCACCATAGTAACATTAAAACCTTCCTTTGTGCCAAACTTGCTTGGGTCCCTATCTTGGGCCATTCCAGCCGTGTTCCTTTTGTGATCCACCTTTCCACCCTGGAGACTCTCAAGCTTTCCCTGTTTTACTTCATGAGGCCATCCCTGCCCTCTACCACCTTTTGATTCTTCCAACCCTGCATCTGTCTGTGGCTCAGCAGTTATGTTGCCCATAGCAGATAATAGTTAGAGATTTCTCTCTTAATACCGTAAAACAGAATCACAAACAATTTTTAAATAAACGCCTCTGACAACTGCAGGATAAAAATAAAAATATACACACTGGCTTTATTAGAGGCCATTTCAGTTAAAAAAGCATTAGTAGAAAGGTTTATTTATTTATTATTATTATTTTTAAGATATTTATTTATTTATTTATTTGACAGAGATCACAAGTAGGCAGAGAGGCAGGCAGAGAGAGAAGAAGGGAAGCAGACTCCCCGCTGAGCAGAGAACCCCATGTGGGGCTAGATCCCAGGACCCTGACCTGACCTGAAGGCAGAGGCTTTAACCCACTGAGCCACCCAGGCGCCCCAGAAAGGTTTTATTTTTTATGTTATTTGTGTTTTTAAAGATTTTATTTATTTGACAGAGAGAGACACAGCAAGAAAGGGAACACAAGCAGGGGGAGTGGGAGAGGGAGAAGCAGGCTTCCTGCAGAGCAGGGAGCCAGATGTGGGGCTCAATCCCAGGACCCTGGGATCATGACCTGAGCTGAAGGCAGACGTTTAATGACTGAGCCACCCAGGTACCCCAGTAGAAAGCTTTTAGAACATTTAGGGACCCAACATGTAACCTGAGCTCTCAATGTTTATAGTGGATGAACTTTTAAAACATAACGTGTAGGCAGAAAACAAAAAATCTTGTTGGAAATAAACTTAGAACTGCTGAGATTTATAACTTCAAATAATTTAAATGTTTTTCACCAGCTCCTGAGATGTGTCTGAAGAAGCCATCAGGTTCTTTTAAACAAAAGGAAACATCTTTACCAGACCGTGTCATCTGGGTCAAAACTTCCAAGAGCTCAGTTTTAGAAGGAAAAAAAAAATGAGTTCCTAATTTATCTAGAGTTTCTCCTTCCAACATCTCAGGTTTGTCATGTTCTTGTCCATTCTGAGATAAGTCTATTCTGGAATAAGGCAAGGCTCTAAATTAGGATTAAAATTATTTTCTCCAGCATTTACATGGTTTTTGAGTTGATATATTGCCAACAGTTCAGTCCCACCAGCTTAACTTCCCCTTCAGCAGAAGATGAAGAACAGGAAGCAGGACAGGCACCCAGCTTCCTGGGGTGGGTGCTGGCCCGGGCTCTGTCACACAAGGACACAGGTCCTCGGCTTCCCTCACAACCAGGGCTCTCCCGGTGGCTCATCTCACCAACCACCTGCCTTCTTGCTTCGGCCTCCTGACCTCAATTTGGAGAGTAGCAGCAGTAACAAGTAGCTGACAAAACCTTCCCCAGTTCACAGTGAGATCTTACTTTCTTCTTTTCACAAGTGACACAGTCTCTCAAACTCCAAGTCTGCATCATGGTACTGACCCGGTAAGGAAACCAAATGTCTTGAGTTAGATGTTACGATCGAAGTAAAGAGAAATCTGTGGGGGTGGCTGGCCAAGGAAGTGAGTGCTGTTCTGGTCTCTGGAAGTTTCTGTGAGCTGGAAGCTGGTGTTCACTGGAGGTGATCTGCTGGTCAGGAGGCCGGCAGAGGAGAAACTTCTGCTGAAATCCATCCTCTGAGGCAGAGGAAAGGACCGGGCTCCAGGTGCTTGTGACCTAGTTCTAACTGACAAGGAAGAAGGACTTGGAGGAGTAAATACCAAGAATACCAGAACAGGAAGGACAAGCTAGGTGGACCTCAAACACCCCAGTTCCCAGACATCGTCCTGTCCCCCAAAAGGGAGGCCATGCGGATCGTCATGGGTCCCTGGGAGAATGGAGGTCATGGAGAGACAAGGGCGACTATGAGGGGAGGGAGCTCCAGAGAGTACCGCTGTGTAAAGGGTAAGCATGCAAAGTTCAGATGTTAGCATTATAGGTGATCCACACCTCCCCCACCTTGAGCTCTAAAAGGAGTTTTCTAGAAGTTAAACAGGAAAAAAGAAAATGGTCAGAGAAAAGATCTGGTTGGGCCAGGGGTACTGTGCTGAGAAACAGCAGAGAGTGGGGGGGTGTCTCAATTTCCCTTTGGTTTGCAGCTCTTTGTCAAACAGGGATTATTGATAAAGCAAGAGAATGCAAAAGACAACTGAAGGCCCTGTGAGGGTACACTCTGTTCTATGGGGGGACAACTTCTGGCCAGGTGGGTTATGTCCCTGGGCCCTGTGCAAATGTGAACACATCAGGGAATTCCTGCCGACAGAAAAAACACACAGAAGGACAGAAGTGTCACAAGATATCCACGAATAGATACTACTTTTCCATCCACTGTTCCAGGCACTAGGGACCTGGGGATGAACTAAGCAGCCCCAGATCTCTGCCCTGCCAGAGGTTACAGTCTTGGCGGAGGGCTCAATGAGTCAAGTTTCATTTCACTTTTCATTTACTGACAACACTGTGGTGCTGGGAACTCAGAATGGGGGAGGCAGAAAAGCAAGCTATCCTACACATACATGATGGACAGTGCCAGGGTCAGCTACTCGCAGGGACCCCTTACCTGGCTTAAGGGGGAGTCAGGAAGGCTCCCAGATGGGGCGGTGTTGAAGGGGAAACTGAAAGGTGAGAAGTTAGGTAGGCAAAGGGTGGGGGTAGGGTCAGGGACTCGGGGCAGAGGGTGCAGCCCATGTGTGAAGCAGCCCTGGGCCGCAGGGCCCACTGGGGGAACTAAGAGAAGAAGAGGAACGTGAGCATGAGATGAGGAAGCAGGCAGAAAGCCAGGCAGGACCCAGCAGGCGTCACAGAGGGCAGCAGTGACCACCAGATCCCAAGTCCAATTCAGAGCTGATACATTCCATAAGCTCAGTTGGGCCTGGCTGTCTTCCCTGACCCAGTCAGGCCCTGAGATTCTGAAGGAAAATGTCAGGACTAAGGTTCCTGTACTGAGCTCGAAATTAAACTCAGGTATCGAATAACCTGCTTAGGTGGAGGTCAGTCTGGAGTCAATCAGCTGAACCTAGAAACCGGAAATTCATCTCCTTCATGTCACGCTCTTTCCAGGAGAATGTACATGCATGAGCGCTGGTGGCGACACAGGAGAATGGAATATGCTCGAATTGCGGCTCTGTCTCACTGCAGTAGTACAGAATGGACTCCGAAACACCAATGGAGTCGTCAGGTGCAGGAGAAAACACCAAGGGCAAAGGCTGGTGCTCCTTACTGCCTGCGTGCTGGCTGAGCCGGGCTCACTAAGGACTAACTCAGCAGGCCTGGGCTGTCTGCGCCCTGCATGTTCCAAAGACAGGCCTTGCCTGGCTCCTGGCCCGTATATTACCCTGATAAGAGGATCTTTGTTTACCAGAGTCCTTAGGCTAGGCCAGATAGTTCTTGCTTCACAGCGTGATTTAGGTGGGGGCCTTCAGCCACACGCCTGACCTCTGAAAAGAGGTCATGCCTACGTGGTTGTATGCTGGCCTACCAAACACTACTCCGTCCCATTGATGTTACTGTGCCAGCCACTCAGGCCCCAGTCTAACACTGATTGCTGGACTCCCCTCAAATGACATCCCAGGCTTCACAAAAGGAGTGAATTACAGGAGCATATGCTCAGTGCCAGAGGGGACAGGGAACTCTGGGCAGGCATGTCTCCATGGGCTTGCCCAAAGGTGCAAACAACCCAAATGCCTATCAGCAGAGGACTGGCTACATAAATACAAGCCATCCATTCAATGGAATAGGACATAGCTATAAAAACAACAATAACAAAAAGATCAGTGCATTATATATTACTAAGGAATAACCTCCAATCCTATTTAAAAAAATATACAGACTAGAATATATAGAATGCATCCACTCAGGTTAAAATTAAAAAAAGAGAAGAAAGAAAAAAAGGAAGGGACTATAGCTTTGTTTCTATCCACAGAGTATCTCCACAAGGACACTGAAGGAACTGACAGTGGCTGGCTGCTGTGGGAGCGGGGTTGGGGCGGGGATGAAACTTCTTACTCTTCTGTATGTTTTTTAAGTTTTGAACTATGTGATTGGACATCGCTTCACAAAAGCTAAACCTTAGGTAAAAGAAAGAATAAAAAAAAAATCAGACTTGTGAAACAGAAGAGCTGAGTGGCCTACGAGTCTCTCCATGGTTCTGGACTGTGCTTACCAGGCCAGTTAAGTACGAACTGCTCCTCTCTAATTCTGTCCCTTGGCAGTCATGACCCATGGCTAGACTCTTGGTGAGAAATAAACCCTGTCCAGTTTCACAGGAGGAGGACGGCTCTCCTTCACTAAGGGTGACCTAAGTGATTTTCCTACTTCTGCCAAGCTGGGACTGAATGACAGCTTCCCAAACTAATATTTGCACATTCCTAACCCTCTATAAAAACCTATCATGTTTTTGGACAGCTCAGCAATGTGTCTCTAAGTAGGGAGGTTAGCAGGTGACTTGGGTCTGTTGCCACAGAGTGGCAGATGAGCTCATTAACCCCAGCCCCATTGCCACCCTCATTCTGACTGGGATCAAAGACTGATTCCAAGGCAGTCTGGACAGCACAAAGTGGGAGGGGAGGGGGTGCTGACCATTCCAGCCTCCCAGGGCCTCTGGTGACTGGGAACTGACTCAATCCAAGAAAAATTCAGTGTCACCATACTGATGATGACAGTGCCTGTCACCTGCCCAGTCATGATCACACTATACCTCTCAGAGCAACACCAACTTGGCCTGATCCAAGCCTCACAGGCCTGAGGTGCTGGTCCACCTCTTTTCTCACCATTCCCCTTGCACAGAGAGAAGGGCCTTTGGAGGCAGCTTGGAGATCCATTTCACAATCCACGTGAAACCACTCACCTCTAATATGTTTTTGACTCTCCTTCCCTCTGAAAGACTTTCTCTTGACCACGAAGGGCTCCTAAGCTACCTCTTCTGGGCCTTTTCTTTGAACATATCCTGTGTGTCATTTCCCTACTGGAGTCCAGGAACACTGGTGGTAGGCCAGTGTCTTTGCAGTGCTCCTCTCTGCCCTGTGAACATTCCTCCTACCTTTCTTCCTCTCCCTCCTTCTCTTTCCTGTCTAAATCTTAGCCTTAAAAGCCAGATTTGAGTTTCTCCTCTGCCATGACAACCTACTTGGTATCATTCTGATTTCCTGTTATCATGCTTTCCAGAGATGTCCCTTCAAACAGTTCTTACTTGGCTTCCTCTGACCTGGTACCCTCAAGAAACTCCTCCACTAGGGTCCTAAGACCTTAGATAGTCTTTCCAAATCTTAGTCAACACTTGCCACTTAGGCTCAAACACAGGAATTCAGTGGATATAAGATGTAAGAAATACAGCTAAACTTCCTTAAGGAAGCCACATACAGGAAAATGAGCCAATGAGGGATACTCTAACAGCAGGAAGTGGGGAAGGAAAATAACCACAAAAGCGGCAATGGGGATAAGACCTAAATGACTATTTGAGAAATTAACCAACATATCTCAAACTGCCCAAGACTGTAAGTGATCAGGTCAGAATGAACTCTGTCAGAGATAAGAGTTACAAAGAGACCCAGGGAGGAAGACAACACTTCAGCTTCCAGTACTAAGGTTCGAAGCTACAAATCCTTTAGATTAATGTTAGCTGATACACCAATGATCTATTATTACATTTCCAAGAACTTAAAACAAAACAAAACAAACATTAGTAGGCTGAGGGAACAAACATGGTGCCTAAGAAAGAACAATCCTCACTTACAGGCTCTGAAATCTCCCATGGGAAGAACGACCAACTGACAAAATGTGAATTAGAGAGAAACGGACTGTCACAGACCATATGCTATCTAGGACATCTTCATTTGGATTTGGGAAGTAAAAGGCCCTAGACTTGACCATACTTGGGCTATGGCTTATTCAGCAGCTGCCCAGGCAGACCTCATCACCTCTACCAGAGAGATGAAGTGGTCAGTGATAGGAAAGAAGGCCCATTTGCACTGACGCTTCACACACACACACACACACACACACCAGCAGGCACAATGCTCACCCATTCTGGGTCACTTCGGGAGGGAAGGTTGAAGCTTTGGATCTGGGATTCTGAGCAGGTAATTATATAAAGAAAACAGACACTCCATTTCCCTAACCCGAGCTCTGCTAACAGCTAAGGAACATTACGGTGAGCAAACTACCGCTTTCAAGCACTCAAGACACACACCTCTTTGTACAGCTAACGTCTCTTGACCTCGTGTGACAATTCAGACTGGTCGGGTCCTCCTGCCCTGCTCCAGACTCACCTCGGCAGAGGCGACGCCGACCCTCTCGGACTCGTATACGAGGGAAAGGGACCTGTCGGTGCTGGCGACCGCGGCCTGGGCCCTGCGCATCACCTCCTGCCGCAGGTACTGCTGCCTGTCCATGGGCGCGCCGGGTCCATCGGGGAGGTCGCGGTCGTCCTTCCACGGCGTTGGCCGGACACCCTCATCCTCCGCATCGTCGTCGAATGGGTTGTAGCTTTTGGGGTAGGCCGACATGGTGCAGGGGCTCGTCTGGGTCTGGGCAGGAGAAGGAAGAGCGTGGCCAAGGCAAAGAACGGCCTTTTCAAGCCCTCAGGGCTCCAGGCCGACCTTCCGAGACCCTCGGGAAGCGCCCACCGCTCTGCAGCACAGCAGCTCCACAGCCCACAGTCCAGCGCCGCGCTACGCCCCTCCACCCACCCGGTCTCTGAGAGAATTCCTTCCGCCAGTCTTGAGCAGGAGGCCCCGCCTCTGGAGCTGACCATCTTGCTCCGCGACTTGGGGGGGCGCCACGTCCTGTGCGCGCGACCGCGGCCTACCGCTCGTCTTCTCTCTCCCCTCCAGAGGTGAAATCGTCCCGCGGCCACGCCCCAGCCAGTGTCGACAACAGAGGTCACGTGCCGGGGAAGTCGGCTACCGCCGCGCCTGCGCCGTGAGCTCTGGCGCTCTCAGGCCGGGTGCGGGAAGCCCGCGGGCAGCGCAGCCGCGCGCGCGATGATGGCGGCGGCCGCGGCCCGGGGAGGGGGCGGCGGCAGCAGCGGCGGCGGCTCGGGCTCCAGCACCTCGCGGGGCTTCTATTTCAACACAGTCCTGTCATTGGCCCGCTCCCTGGCCGTGCAGAGACCGGCATCTTTGGAGAAGGTAGTCTTGGCCGCTCGGGCCGCGGGCTGACAGGAGAAGGGGTATGGGATGGCGAAGCGGGTAGGCGGGGCGAGGATCTGTGGAAGGCCGAGAGGTTGGGTTGTCTAGGGCTACCTGTGACAGGAAGGGGTACAGGAGCGGAGGGAGCCGGGGTTGGGGCGGTGAGGAGGCCGGTGAGCGGAGGGCGCTGGTGAAGAGAGGGGCATAATGGTGTTGGTTTAGGCGAGGAGTGGACAGAGTAGGTGGGGACTTTGCGGGTGGGTGGCGTGGGAGGGACGTGAGCTACAGGCCGGGCTTTGAGCCGAGGGGGCACCTTGTGATGCAGCAGGGCGGGGGCGGCTGGCAGGGAGAAGCAGTGGTGGGAACGGCGGAGGACCGGAGTCAAAACCTGGGGCTCTGCTCCCGACTTCTCTGCTTTTTATTACGTGACCTTGGAGACGTGCTGTTCTCATAAAATGGGGGTGCTTACCTACTTTGCCCGCTTCACACTGTTGTGAAGGGCAAATGAAATAGTACATCTGAAATCGCTTTCTGAAATGCAGATCTGCGCGTTGTTTTTCTGTGCATCTAGAGGGGGCGTTAGACTGGGAATAAGATTGTGTTCCGAAGAAGGGACAGTGGCAGGGAAGGGGGAATGAACTGTCATTGGCAGAGAATTGAACTCAGGATTGCTTCAGAGGAGGAAGGGGAAATTATCCCGGAGGAATCTTTGCCTTGGGAGAAAGGTGAAAGGAAACTCAAAAGGTGTCGCTCGGATGGTGGAGAGAACAGATTTTAGAATCAGACATGTTCGGTCCCTGCACTGTTACTATTTGTCCTCTTAGGCAAGTTACTTCAACTCTTAGAGCCCTGTTTCCTTATGGGTGAAATGAAGTGATTCTTGAGAAGTACGTGGATTCAAGCATAAAGTGTCTCCTGTAGGTAGGTGAACAGTAGAAGTCAGCTTTCTTCCCTCACCGTCGTGTGATGGGACTCATTATAGTATGTAGCATTGTAGGGGTGATCTATCTATCTTCCTTCCTTCCTCTCTCTCTTTTTTTCTTTCGTTTGGGAGAGCGCGCGTACACGTGCGTGTGCATGATGGAGAGGGGCAGAGGAAGACGAGTCTTAAGCGGACTCCGGTGCTGGGCTGGATTTCAGGATCCTGAGATCAAGTCTGGAGCTGAAACCGGGATCCGGCTGCTCAATCGACTGCACCACCCAGGCGCCCAAGGATGGGAGTCTTTTTTCATACAGTTTCTGGCAGGTGAAAAGAGATCTGTTGTCTAAGAGTAGGAGAAAAGGATGGAGACTGGAGACCTGTCTGGGGCAGTTAAGAGTAGTTTTGTGGGGGCGCCTGGGTAGCTCAGATGGTTAAGTGTCTGCCTTCGGTTTGGGTCAAGATCCCAGGGTCCTGGGATTGAGCCCTGTGTGGGGCTCCCTGCTTGGTGGGGAGCTTGCTTTTCCCTCTCCCTCTGCTGCTACCCCTGCTGTGCTCACTCTCACTCTCTGTCAAATAAAGAAATAAAATATTAAAAAAAAAAAAAAAAGACTTTTGTGGCTCCGGTGAGGGTTGATGCTGAAATGCTGTGTTAGGCTCTCTGGCATAGTGTCCTTGGCTTTGTGGGTTCTTAAATCTGATTTCTCACTTAACTGTAGGGTGAGCAGGTCCTGGGAGATTGATGCCAGCCGAACTTCTAATTGAAGGAGGAATTCAAAAGAATAGAAAGTATACGATTTCTGGAGATAGGAATACCTCACTTTAAATCCTGTATCATTTGCTTATATTAGTGTGACTCTGGGTAGGTTAGTTCCCCAGTCTGACCTTTGCTTTCTCCTTCAGAATACAAGGACAGTACTTGTTAAGAGTATTATGAAGATCAACAAAATGACCCATGAGTACAAAATGACCCATGATTGAGAACTGTTATCATTGGATGAGCCTAACTAATGGGCTGCAGCGCTGGCTTATCAAGTCAAATTCATGCCAGCTAGTTAGCACATTCTCTTCTTAGTAGGAGGGCTAAAAAGCGTATCAGAAGTTTGCTTGCTTGACTTGGAGAATAGCAGAGATTGTAGGGAATTGGTGAAGACAGTCCTGTGGCTCTAGTAGGGCCCCCTTTCCTACCCAGTAACTCTGAGAAATGCACCTTAAGCACAACTGGCCTTCTTCAGCTTTCTCCCATGTCCTCACAAGAACATTCCATAATTGCAACACTGTTAGCTTTGTATCTTACAATAGCTGCTTACTGTTGTCAAGATTATGGTGTATTTTACAAGTTAATATAGCTTTTAGGTTGGCAGCTCCCCATTACTATCTCTTAGTTTGGGAGGTACTTCAGTATTATTGGTAACATTTACAAATCACTTTAGAAGAGAGTTAACAGAGCTAGCCCAAGGCTGCAGTCTTCAGAAGGGATTGCTTGCAAGATTGGTCCTTGACTCACATCTGGGAACTCGATGCTTGAACTGTTCCCTCCATTTTCTAACTGATAAGGGTGGTTCATTGAGCCTAGACTCTGAACAAACAATATAATTATCTGCTTTCCTCTTGGGAATCTGGAATTTTGATGGCTGCTAGGCAGACACTGCCTGTGTCTGTCAATAAAAACCTTAGATGCTATGTCTCTAATGGACTTCCCTAGGTACAATCATAGCATACATGTTACTACATTGCTGCTGTAGAAAGGAGCACGCTCGGTGTATACCTTCACAGGAGGGAGAGAACAGGAGGAAGCCCATGCACAGGTTTCTCCAGAGTCCACTTGTCTTTTTCTCTTGCTGACAAATTCACTGTCATACAATGTACTGTAATTTAGCTACAAGTATAACTACATATGCGTGGGTGGTCTTGGGGACCCTGAAATAATTTCTGTCTTAGAGAAGGCTTCTGTAGATGGCTGATTCCATCAGATATATGTGGTGGTTTCCTCTTATCCTCACCTAGGATCCTGAGACTTCATTATGCTAGGGATCATTGTTCACTACTTATTTTTTAAAGATTTTATTTATTTATTTCACAGAGAGCAAGAGAGAGAACACAAGCAGGAGGAATGGGAGAGGGAGAACCAGGCCTCTGGCAGAGCAGGGAGCCCGACTTGGGGCTCGATCCCAGGACCCTAACCTGAGCCAAAGGGAGACGCTTAAGGACTGAACCACCCAGGCACCCCTCATTGTTACTACTTAGTCCTATGATATATGGCTGTTTACTACATTCTGCTACTTTAAAACAATTGACAGTAAGCCCTCAGAATTCCTAGGGAAGTATTCTTGAGGTTCTTAAGAGTAAAGGAATTTCTGAGTACCCACCAGGATAATGAAGGTGGGGACTTAAGTAGGGAGATGAGTGTTGAAAAACCTCTCTTTCTCATTTATTTGTTTCTGGGTTTTTTTTCCCTCCTTTTTTTCCAGAGAGAAGGCAGAGGGCTGAGTGGGGCTTGGTCCAGATAGGCTCGAGCTGAGGACGGCTCAGTTTTCTGAGCTAGACCTGACATCTCAGTTCAGACATTGGTAACTCAGGCAGCCTTGATGAGCTTTTATGGCACTTGGGGCACATTAACAACATACCTTTCCCTGTCTTTGTCTACCTACATGTCACAGTGGTGTTTCCTTACTCCACTCACCCATTCTGATCCCAGGCTGTGTAAATTTTACTTTTCCTTTAATTAATTTACTCTTTGATTTAGAAAACATTTGTTGAGCACCTACTGTTAATTAGTATGCACTAGATAGGCCAGATCAATAAGAAACAGCATTAATGAGATTGTTCAGGTGATCAGTATCAAGTCAGACTTGCTACAAGTAGCCCATCTACTCTTACGTCACAGGTCTGGTGATCAGACCCCTGCCATGTTCAGATAGTCAAACACAAGACTCCTTGGTGTCAAGCCTCTGATTCATCTCTGAGCTTTGATCTTTTCCTGTTATGCCGCCCCTAAGACTGGAACCTCAGCCCTAAAGCCTACCCCCAGGATTGTGGGCCATCCTGAGGATATCATCTGTGTTCCTCGAGATCCCATCCCACACAGCCCTCAGCCCTCTCCCTCTGGGAGAAAGGTGAGAGGAGAGAAATAGAGAAGAGAATCCTGTCTACAGTGGAATCTCCATGTATGGTCAGCTTCCATTCTCTGATTCTGCCTGCTAGTCTTGTTCTGCTCTTCTCATCTGTCTTCAGAATGTTACTGAGCTGCCCCTGTCAAGCTGCCCCCTGGATCTGCCTGATGCTACTCCTATGTGTCTTATGATATTGGTGACCTGTTTCTCCCTTTCCTCATCTGGCCTATACATAGTAATGGACCCTCAACCCTGGGACATGGAGAGTTCCTGGTAGAATTGAAAAGTAGGCAGCATTCCTTGCCCTCCCACTCATCTTCCTACCCTCAGGAGGCTTTGATCAGAATCTTTTTCCATGTCCTACAGTATGCTCTCTTTTCTTCAGTTAGAATGCCAGAATCTCGAGGTGTCTTACTAACTCGATGTGGTATATAAATGGCACTGCAGCATTAGGGACAGGCCAGAACTTCCTTGGTGGACAGACATGCTCCAGAAGATGAGCTGGTTAACTCTGATCTC